GTAGCCTCATTGCAAGGCAATAATAATTCATTATGTGATATAAAAACCGTTTCCCAGGGAAACGATCAGCAAAAAACAATCACGAATACTTCTTTACCAGCGGAGGATCTTGACGATTCTGATGAAATTGAGCTTACTAAAAATCAAAATATAGAATTAGATTTAATACAAGATTTACGGAATAGTATGCTTATTGTTACACCTGATCCTATAGAAACACCTCCCGAAGATATCGTGGATAATGGGCAGAGCCCAGACTCTTTGAGTCATGAAAAATCATCATCTAGCCACTCTGTGCCTCCCTCCGGCAAAATCACAACACAAAGCTTAATCAATTTGTTTAGAAAAGCTATACGATCTGGACATGAAGAAATTTTATCCTGGATTCGCTATTCAGATAATTTTGAGAATAAAGTTATCGAAATTCGACATAAGACAGGAGTTAGCGATAAAACTGCAAGAACCCAAATATACAAAGAGATGTTAGAACATTTACCAGGTGTTACATCAGTTGCCTTGCGAATTAAGACTCTTAGGGCCAGAAAAATTCGTAAGCTATTTGGAGAAAATGGTGTTGGAATTGATAAAGTTAAGTATGTTACCTGCACTGCAAATGATATCGCAAAATTAACCAATACACAAATTCAAAACATTATAAATCAAGTAACCTCAAAAACCGTTTCCCAGGGAAACGATCAAAATCATGTGATCTCAACTGAGGATTTCAAATCTTTACCAGAGACCAAGGTATGTATACCATCCGCCTCAGAATCCATTACTGAGAAAGCCTTACCCGAGAAACAGACTCATGATCGTGATTATTTTCGTAATAAAATATTAGGTCGATATCCTGATATATATAAAGAATTTAGTAGTGAAAAATTTGATTATTATGGAATTATTGATAAGTCATTATGTCCAGCGTGTAAGTTAAGTCATAAGGATGAGAAAAGTATAAGAGGTAGATATGAAGCTGGATCTTATTTTGTTAAATGTGGAAAGCATGAAATTGAGGTCACGGCATAAACCATGCTACCTCTACTAATACACGAAGTGTACTTTCTCCCATATCAATGGAGTATATACAGTATATCAAAAGTAAATAATTACACAAACCTGGACAAGTGGATAGTGATATTTTTTTCTTGACAGCTATGTGATTTTGAATTGACTTGCTTTAATATAAAACGATAACATGTCTTCTGATACTACCTCCAGCAAGATATTAACTAATGACTATTGCAAATGGCATGCTAATTTAGTTGATTTACCAAGTTCTCAGACAGATAAAATTCGTTCTAGATTATATAAAGCATATATGGAAGAGACTGGACTCGATCCCTGGATAAATTCTGAAACTCATGAATCCCCACAAATCGAAAAAACTGATAATCTTTCACGAGACTCTATTATCAAGATTTCTAAGTTTCCAGAAGAGAAAGGTATAATCCATGAAACAATACATAAACGCTTTCCTTTCTTGATATATACTAATTCAAATGCATGGCATCGAGATGTATTTAAATATACTAACTTGAAAGCTGAATGTCCGATATGCAAAGAAGTACATACTCGTTTAGGAATATGGGGTGACTGGAGCTGTCTAGGTAAAAATGATCACTATTATCTCAATTGCCCTTTTCGTATCGATCAAAAGAAAGTTATAATTGCT